GCATCTTTCCATTTTCATTATCTATGGTGCCATAAGCTCCACTATCATTAGCTGTATCTGAATCGGAATCATCGGCCTCGGCGGCTCTACCTAGATGAAAAATAAAATACAGGAAGTTTTAACAGAAACAGGTATTTTGTTAGAAATATATACCTTCGATTGTATCATCAAACAGATTATGTGGATTTTCATCAGAATCTGCTGAAGATGGATAATAGTCCTTATCTATGATACATCACTCCCAAAGTTGTAAAATTCGTCTCCACTTATAACATAACTTGTTCCAGGATTATTTGTTTGTTCTCCGTCGTCTGATGACTCTGCTTCATCAATTTCAATTTTATTTTCAGGTATATTTGCTTATGTACCAGAATTTGCGGGCACTGCTCAAGTATTTTGTAGATCTTTAGTTATTTTCATAATTTTTTTAACGCGAGAAGAAAACATTTTTGGTGAGTGAACCCAATACCCAACATCACTCGCTCGCATTCGGTACACAAATGACGGCGAAACAGGATCAGACACGTTTGTTCGTATGATAACACTGGACAACAAATTTTAGTTTTTTAATTGTATCTTGTGGGAAAAGTGCACTTCTTTGTTAATTTTGGGGCGCTGAATCCAAAAATGACAATGAAATAAAAAAATTAGTTGCGGTTTAGAAAAAAAGCTTTTTATTTTTTAGGGATATATTAAAAAAAGTAACAAGATTCATATACTTATAAGAATCACTATATGCGCTGTCTTTTTGCTGTTCTTTTATGGATCGTTTCTGGAGCATCTCTACCAAGAGTCCAACAGTAGTCTGCAAGCATGGAAGGATTCCACTTTCCCTGGTACCTTTTTTCCATTGTTGAAATATCCTGATGAAAACGTTCGCCGTGCTCATCACTTACGGCTCCGCAATTGTCAGGAAAAAAGTCCAGGTGTGAGTGTAGGAAATGTATATTAAGAGACATATTACAGCCCATCTTTTGATACGATGACAGCATATTTTTGACAAGGGTTTTATAGTTGTCAGCTTTTCTAATTCCCAAGAAATTAGTGACCACCAGACGGAAATCATGCCAAGCAGTTTTTTCAATACCTGTTAAAGTGTTTTCAAACTGTGTACCTTTCAAAATATTTCGAATCTGTGGCCCAACAAAAATACCTTCTTTAACCTTTGCCTCATTTAGTCTTGGAAATTTCTGACGCAGGTATTGAAAAGCTGACTCATCTCTATCTAATGCCTTGACAAAGTTTTTCATTAGGCCCAACTTGATATGCAGTGGTGGTAATAAACTTTGTGTAGCCTAGCTGCAGCCCAAGTAAAAGTGCAACAACTTTCAAATCGCCACAAATGTCATTGGTGCTCTTCGTATTTTATGCATGTCAATATGTACTTCATATTGTCATATGATTCTTTCATATGAACTGCATACCCTACAGGAAGAGATGGTAAAATATTTCCAATATGCAATAACACTGCCTTTAAACTCAATGTTGAACTGTCTATAAACAATCTCCATGCTTCTGGGTTATAGTTTATATTTAAAGCCGCCAGTAAGCCGTTAATGTTACTGCAGAAAACCAAGTTATTTTCCATATTGAAAAATGGTTCTAAGTCTTTGTGGCGTTTACGAAAAACACATACCGAAACATCGTCTTCTAACAAGTTCCACTGCTGCAGTCTTGATCCAAGTAACTCTGCCTTACATTTTGGAAGTTCTAAATCTCTTACAAGACCATTTAATTCTGACTGTGTTATTTTGCGCGTTTGGTGGCATGACGTGCTCGGTATAAAATCAGGAACTCTTGACGTTGATGGCATACCTTCTTCCTGACGAATCACTCGATCGCCATGATCTGATTCGCAAGTGTAAGGTTCTGGGGGTTTTGGAATCGGATTTTCGTCACTGTGAGGCACAGGTCTCATCGCAGATGGTATGTTTGGGTAGTTAATAACCGATTTCTTTTTCTTGAACATACCTGTGGCTTGTCCAACACAAGGTACAATGCAGAAGTAACAATCATTAATATGATTTGTAGGCTCTCTCCAAACCATTGGGACAGCAAAGCGCATAGACCGTTTTTTGCCATTTAACCAGCTCTTCAGACTTGAAGCACATGTATTACAGCAGATGTGGGGTGCCCACTGTTTGTCTTGATCACCTAGTTTTCAACCGAAATAAAGCTGATATGCCTTTGTTATTAGTGGAATAATAGACCGTCTCTGAGACGCAAAAGTCACATCACCACACACGTAACAAAACTGATCTGGATTGTTTACACACTTTCGAGACATCTTGCATGAACGCTGTCAGCCAACTGAGGAAAAAATGGCTAATATAAAACAATATAATGTACACGTATGTATAACGTAACATAATCATGCCGATTACATCATCTTTCCTTGCCGAATATAAAAATGTAGCACGTGCATTCTTTTGAATTACAGTATATTAACACTGTCACAGCAGGAACACATATAATTACCGTATCTCTAAAACTTGAACTAATATTGAAAAAATAAGTTTCATTCCGATTTTAGCACATTAAAAATAGTAATATTTTGTTGATTTTATTTAGGATATTTTTTGGCTGTTGATCAGTGTAATACATAGGTCTCGGGAACCTATAACGCTCTCCACTAATTATTTTGATATGTCTGTGCGGTGTAGGTCTCCGGAGACCCCATAAAGTTTTTATACAATTTCCATCTCTACAAGTTCTCACGATCTTATAGCTACATGTCTTGCATTTATAACTTGTATATTAAGGGAAATATGCGTTTCGCACCAAAACGGAAATTTGAAAAAAACAGCTCCGCATCAAAATGAAGTTTGATCTCGGTCTCGGGAGACCGATATAGCAGTCTTTTTCTCCGAGATCAATCTCTTTCACACTAATCCAAGACACTACATCCACGCGAGCTGAGCCGCGGGCTTAGTCTTGCCGGGAAAACTTCCTTGTATAGTTTATCTGAAGTCACTTGAAACACTGTTGCTGCAAAAATCGCCAAATTTCGCAGCAAATATCCCAAATATAAGATCAAAGGCAGTTTCAGCGGTCCACGTGGAGTAAAGCACGCCTATGCATGGACATAGCCAATGAGAAAGCGTGTATTTCAGAGCTGGGAACAAGTGCAGGTGGCTACTGAAAATTGAAACAGTTTAGCCAGTGCCGTGTAGCGGTGAATAAACGTGTTTTCATTAGTCTGTTCGTATTTTTTCATAGATTTTATTAGTTTGTGTGTTTATGACTTTTGAATACTCAGTTTACTTGTTGATTTAATTGTTGTATTGATTGTTCTTGTGTGTCCTAAATATGGCTCTTTGGAGACCTTGGGAAAATGCTCCAAGCCACGAGGAGATGGTTGATGAACCTGTGCAGGCAGAATTCTTTCATAACGATTTAGAGGAACAGACCCAAAGAGTAATCCTAAATATGTATGATTGTCTGAAAAACGAAAATCCAGATTCCTCGCAAAATCAAATTTTAAACAGAATTTGTATCCTGACAAAAATCAGTCGGTCTACCATTTATCGGGTTATAAAAAGGGGAGATGTAGTCCACCATTCCTTCCACAGAAAGCGCTTAGGGCAAAAATTAAAAAGAATAGACGTGGGTTTTCAGGAAGATATTCGTCGTATAATATACGGATTTTATAAAGAAAATTTGGTGCCCACGTTGGAAATGATACGGGATAAATTAAAAGATTATCCTGAAGATTTTTATAATTACAAATGCTTAGACTCACTGCACTGTATTGTAAAACTGTGTGGTTTTCAATAAAAGAAATTAGATAAAAGAATGGTGATTATGGAGTCGTCTCGAATCGTTGAATTGCGCCAAGAATGTTTGCACAAAGTTAAAATCTATAGAGAGCAGAAAAGAAATCTGATTTACCTGGATGAAACGTGGTATGATACCCATGATGTTGTGCAGTACGGCTGGGTTGACGACAGCAACAAGTGCATTTTAAATGCACCATGCAACCGTGGAAAACGAATCATTATTCTCCATGCTGGCAGTGAAAATGGATTTATACCTAATGCCTTGCTGTTATCTGCCAAAAATATCAAAGAATCATGTGCCGACTATCATGAGGGCATGACCTCCGACTCATTTGAAAAGTGGATAGAGCAGCAGTTAATACCAAACATTTCCCCAAATTCAGTGATTATTATGGACAATGCGCCATACCATTCCCGACAGACAAACAAAATTCCGAATACAGGCACAAAAAAACAAGACATTATTGATTTTATGAAGGTTAAGGGAATGGAAATACCACAAAAATCAACCAAAGCCATATTATTGGATCTTATTAAAAGACAAAAATTTGAAAAAGAGTATGTTGTTGACAATCTGCTTCAGCAAAATGGCCATGAAGTATTACGTCTACCTCCCTATTACTGCATTTTTAACCCGATTGAGTTGGTCTGGGCTGCTTTAAAAAAAAAAGTCAGAAAACATAATCAGACCCCTCAATTAAGTGAATCGCTATTGGCCACAATAAGAGATGCAGTATCTCATATTGCTGCCACAGACCTATGGAAGCAGTGTTCTAGGCATATTATTGAAAAAGAAAATGAATATTGTGTTTTGCCTCCTGTAAATCCCGTTGTAATTCCTCTACAAGATGACTCTAGCGACAGCTCCGAAGGCGAGGATGGTATATAAATACCTATAATGTAAGTCTTTATTATATACCTTTTGTATACCTACCTGCTATGTAAATATTTATGTCAAACGTTGGAATTCTGTAATTTTTCCATTTCTTAACTTTCAGTCAACATAAATTAAACTCCCAATATAAGTATTTTTTATCCCAAATCCAAAAAATAAGAAGATAGGACATATATATAGACAAAGGACGCGCCGACCAAAGGTTTTTATGCTATTTCAAGTGACTTCAGATAAAGTATACGTGAATCCTGTTCAAACGTGGCAACGTCGCATGGCGTCGAGCATGCAGCATCAAAGCGTCACGACGCCGACGTCAGTCGTCGATCGACGTCCCGCCGAAGCTTGCAACTTCACACAACTCCGCGTCCATCCGACATCAGCTGGACCTGTTTCCATGTGCAACAAAGATGAAGTTCACTGAGCATCTCTCAGCTCACATCACGCCAGAGTGGAGGAAACAGTATATCAGTTATGAGGTAAGTTCATTTCTTGAAATGGAAATTTCTAGAGGAGGAATTTAAATCGATAAGGTCTTTTAACACCTGTTTTACACAGAAACGCTTAAACAGGAATGAAATATACTGTTAGTATAGATTGTTTGTCTTACTTCGTAATACTTTTCATTACTTCTGTTTGAATATGCGAAGGTGGGCTTTGTTTCTGATCTTAACCCTTATCATTTTGGTGTACGAGCTTACTGCGCTATGTTTATCAGGTGGCATTGACCTTATTAAACACGTAGTAGCCTTATTAACAAAACCGCAAAGTAGGTCTTTGCATTTTTAGCACATGTCGTGAGCTGAAGTTCAGTTTAGGTCTTCTGTACCGTGTTTTTGATAATGCAAGGCCGTGTTTTAATTTTCGTTGAAGACTACTCATAAGCAGTTATCACAAACACTTTTTTTTTTAAATCACAAAAAAATGCGGTTCTAGTAACGGGAAAGAATGAAGTTTTATTTATACTCCCAGGGCGAATCTAGGAATTGCTCAAATGTCAAAACTCACCAATCCCTTTGGACTGTAGGCCGTGAAACAGTAATTTCAAGGCAAAGATTTCCGTTTAAAATCCATCATTTTCGTGTAATAAAATGCCTAGTGTCACATGCACTGTCAAGAAAAATACATCAAGTCATTAAACTGTTAGGTGAAAGGCAGTAAACTTAATTTAGCGCATTTTTTGAATTTTGAAATTTTGTATGTTTACAATTACATTGGTGTCAACATTTAAAAAAAGGCAGCAAATGAAGGTTTATGAGAAAATTTCAATGTAGCCCGCGAAGTAGAAATATCATAGTTAAAACTTTTGATGGCAGTCCGCCATTTTAACTCCATAAAGTATACCCAATGTCAGTTGTACTGTCAAGACAATTACTCAGATGCTCTATATGTCAAAACATATTAAGCAATTCAGGCTGTATATATACATATATACAGGGTGTCCCAGAAGTCGACGTCAAGCCGAAACCGGGTGATAGGCAAAGTCATAACAGCTATCAGAAAAATATTTAAAAAAATTTTATGTATGTGTTTTGAAAATTATAGGTCTTTGAAAAAAATATAGAAATTTCACACCCTACGGCAGTCTGTCAACTCCTGTTACTACAAATATTAACTTTTTTTGGATTTTATTTTTACAATGTAATGATGAATAATGCACCTTCAAACTGGTGTCTCAACCTTACTGCCGACTTTTCTCGTTCAGGAAAAATTGCTACTTATAGTATTTCCCAACCAAGTATTCCAAAGTAAAACTTTGATCAACCTTAACTGGCTGTACTGGAGAGAAATGTACTGCGAGAGTTTGGCAAGTAACCTTAAAAGTTGGAGCATTTAATAAGGATTCCAAAATGGTATAACACTTAGAAGATTACTCGTTAACTTATGCACAATTTTCATTTGAAGAAAAACTGATGAACATTTTTCAAAATTTCCTAACTAACAGCGATTATGAAAGCGCACAAGGACCCTTAAGGATAACTGTTTGCACAACAGTGGGCGTCAAAATGCTTCTGATGATGATTTACCTTTACAGCAAATGCTCAAACTGTTTTCCTTCAGCCGCAATACACGCTTGACGTCTTCTTAAAAAAGATCGGGTTACTAAACGAGCGAATCCACGGTTATTAACAAACTCAGCTGCTTCCAATAGTCTTTGCCGTAGCTCAGCTACATTTGGAATCGGCCTGAAATACACTTTTTCTTTTACAGTTCCCCAGTAAAACAAATCTAACGGATTCAAATCTGGTGAACGGGCTGGCCACGGTATTGTACCAGACCGCCCTATCCATCTGCCTGGAAAGTTTTGATCGAGATACTCTCTCACTGAGAGCGCATAGTGCGCTGGGCAGCCATCACGCTGAAACCACATGTCCCTGTAAATACTCAGTGGCACGTCCTCCAATAAATTTTCTAAATGATTTTGCAAAAAACCTAAATAAACCTCAGCAGTCAAAGTCTCTGGGAACTCAAACGGACCGATTATTTTACCATTTAAAATTCCTGTCCAATGGTTTATCTTGAAGAGATATTGAGATTTATCTTCTGTCATCAAATGTGGGTTAGCTACGTGCCACTCGTGTAAGTTATGCAGGTTCATGTACCCATCTTTCTTAAATGTGGTCTCATCTGACCATAAAATTTTTTCAAAGAACCGTGGATCTTCCCTGTGTCTTTCTAACATTGTGCGACAAAAAGCAACTCGGGACTCATAATCCCGGGGCAGAAAAGCTTGAACACGCTGTACGTGGTATGGATGGAGCACGTTTCTTTGCAAGATTCTATGGGCTGTACTTTTTGGCACACCTGTTTTTAGTTCTATTGCACGCACTGAAGTACTCGGGTCTTCTTCGACAGCTCCTAGCATCACGTCTTCGTAAGGAAGGAAAGATCTTCCCTCACCGTGTGATTGGTTTGGTAGTTGGCGCTCTGAGAACAGTAAGCGGTGCACGTTTGTGAACACTCGATGATCTGGATGACGAGCTGCATTCGGGTACCTCTCACAGTAAAGTCTCGCTGCAGCACTAGCGTTGCATCTGCATTCCCCATAAATCAGGTGCATGTTAGCATATTCTTGTACGGTGTACACGGACATAGCGGCACTGCACTATCACACTATCAAAGATAGTCTAAGGAAAGCAAATGTTGTTTTGAAGAGCAATTAAACAGTCCAAATCCAAATCACAAGCGATCAACAGTCCAGTTCACGAATCCAAAATTAGTAACAGTACGAAATCAACAAGCACGAACATGTAAAGATGCGCAGTAAACGAAGGAGTACTGATCGGTATCAAAGTGTGCAATAGTAAGTAAGTGATATGCTTCATCCATACCACATACAGCGTGTTCAACCTCTCCTGGCCCGGGATTATGAGCCCCGAGTTGCTTTTTGTCGCACAATGTTACAAAGACACAGGAAAGGTCCACAGTTCTTTGAAAAAGTTTTATGGTCGGATGAGACCACATTTAAGAAAGATGGGTAAATGAACCTGCATAACTTACACGAGTGACACGTAGCAAACCCACATTTGATGAGAGAAGATAAATCTCAATATCGCTTCAAGATAAACCATTGGACAGGAATTTTAAATGGTAAAATAATCGGTCCGTTTGAGTTCCCAGAGACTTTGACTGCTGAAGTTTATTTGGATTTTTTGAAAAATCATGTACAAAATTTATTGGTGGACGTGTCACTGAGTATTTACAGGGACATGTGGTTTCAGCATGATGGCTCCCCAGCGCACTATGCACTCTCAGTGAGAGAGTATCTCGATCAAAGCTTTCCAGGCAGATGGATACGGCGGTCTGGTACAATACCGTGGCCAGCCCGATCACCTGATTTGAATCCTTTAGATTTTTTTACTTTAAAAATTGTGCATAAGTTAACGAGTAATCTTCTAAGTGTTATACCATTTTGGAATCGTTATTAAATGCGCCAAATTTTAAGGTTACTTGCCAAACTCTCGTAGTACATTTTTTTCCAGTACAGCCAGTTAAAGTTGAGCAAAGTTTTATTTTGGAATACTTGGTTGGGAAATAAGTGGCACTGTTTCCTGAACGAGAAAAGTTGGCAGTAAGGTTGAGACACCAGTTTGAAGATTCATCATTACATTGTAAAATAAAATCCAAAAAAAGTTATTATTTGTAGTAACAGGAGTTGACAGACTGCCGTAGGGTGTGAAATTTCTATATCTTTTTCAAAGACCTATAATTTTCAAAACACATACATAAAATTTTTTTAAATATTTTTCTGATAGCTGTTATGACTTTGCCTATCACCCGGTTTCGGCTTGCCGTCGACTTCTAGGACACCCCGTATATTTGTAAGTTTTTTATATCTATAGCTGTTTCTCGCTCCTCAGTCGCCACAGTTTTCGATCCTCCCAGTCACCCTCCTGAAGATTTCTTGTACTCATGGCTTCTCTGACAACATTTTTCCAGCTCCTGGGTGGCCAGTCGCGTTTCCTCTTATCAGCAGGGATCCAATTCCGTATCTTTTTTGGCCTATCGTTTTTCGTACGTGGTAAGTGGCCATTCCATATAAGTCTCTTGAGCTCGATAGTGTCCATAATATTCCCTTCTACCACGATTTTCCTTTTTATCTCCTCGTTCCTAATATGGTCCAATCTTGAAATCCCCGCGCTACGTCTCCAGTAGTCCATTTCAAGGGATAACAGTCAATTTTTGTGTTTATCTCTGATTTCCCATAGCTCCATACGTACTAATGCTCTCTGCAATAGTTTTATATATAGATCTCTTCCCTTTGTTATTAACTTTATTAATAATAATAATAATACTAATAATAATAATATTTATTCACACAATGTACAAAGATAACAAACAATATGAGTAAATAAATATAAAATCAAAACAGACCCAATAGAAGGCATCGCCTGTACATGGACCAATAAATTTAAGTTGTAACTGTAGAATGCAAATGACAAAAAAGGACAAAAATTAGCTACAGTAGATTATGTATTTAGTTCATGTTCGTATTTATGAGTTTATGAATTTCAGTCCTAGATATAGAATGTAGCCACTTTTTTAAATTTCTTTTGAAACAATTTCCGAAACCTAAATCTTTTAAGTCTTTAGGTATAATTTCATAAAATTTAGGCGCTAAATAGAGATATGATCGCTGCATTATAGATTTATGCGGTTGAGGAACTACTGTGCCACGATTTTTGTACCTAGTATAATGATTATGTTTAATTTTTTGATCGGTGTTTACAAATTTATGGTAGTGAGTGATACTGTGTAAGAAATAAAGCTGTCTTATATCATACATTCGAACATCTGTGTATAATTTTTCAGTGGGATAAAGTTTCGGTTTTTTAAATATCATTTTTAGAATACTTTTTTGAAAAACATCTAAATTATTGATATGTAAGGAACATGCAGCTCCCCATGCTAATATACCATATGTGAGATGAGGCTCAATCAGTGCATGGTATAATGTTCGAAGATATTTTTCTGTCAA